GGAAAACAAAGTCCAGTGGTTTGTTTTTTAACTTTTTAACTGACTATGACCTGGATGACTGACAATCTTCACCAGCATGATTTGACAAAGTATATCCATTAGCTAAAAGTAAACACAACTCTTCTCAAACATTCAGTGACTTTATACTTTATTTTGTATATTTAAAGTAGGTGGTTATTATTATTGATACTGCCTGCTAGTCTGAAGCACCATCTGTACACATTTCCTCATTAAATACTGTCAGAAAATGAAAACACCACCCAAGTTTCTATATGTTTGAGCAGGTGTTCTAGGGGCAGCAATAATCCCAGTAGGTTTCATTTTCTTCTTTGGAATCCAAGATGACATTTTCTCACAATCTGCAGAGGACAGAATATAAAACCTTGACAGCCCCTTGGGCTACTGTGACTCATATTAAGCTTTATGGGGCTTCAAGGCCTGTTTTCTGGCCCATATACTAAACAGTGCAACCATATTTAAGTGATGTTACTTCATCTTTTTCTGATTTATACAAACTAAATTAATATAAGCAGATATTTGTAGTTAAAATAAAAGCACTTTCTAATCTAGACAATTAAATTTCTGGATAGGCAAATTGGATGACCTGTTTGTTCCTCAAATGATGAGATAACTTGCTCCCAATTATAATCCTACCCCTGGAAAAACTTTGATCAGCTCAGGTTCAACATCTTTAAAATTCAGATTCTCCAAATATTGGTGAGATCTTGTGATCTGCAGGAACTTTACATTGTTTTCAGAAATTTAAACTGAAAACAATGGAGGCAAACTTGGCAAACAGGTGCCTTTGGAAATATTTTTAAAAATATATACATATTTTTAAATAGACATGCATTTACATGTGGTATCTGCTGGTAAGCAGAGCAAGCAATTGTTTGGCCAAAAACAAATTATTTTAATGCGGAAAATCATATTTAGATATAAATCTGTGTAAAGAGTCTTGATTTTTGAGATATTTAAAATTCTAAGTCTATAATTTAAACTTCACACCAATTCAGATTTTGGTAATGACAAACTTTGATTCCACAAGTTCCCAAACCTTTTCTATGTTTGGAAATGGTATGTTTAGTCACAAAGGTGGAGGATGGGTAATATGCTTTAAAGTCTGAGGGCAGCTAAATTAAAGCCATATATATCTCAACGTCCCACTATAAGGAAAGAGGCTGCAGCTCTGTAGTGCCTCAACCCAACAAACTCATCTGTTCCCTGATTGGATTGTTATATTTGTGATTGACATCCATTCAAAACTTGCCCTCAGGTTTTGGAACTTGAGCCCAAACTTTTACACATGCTTTTCATTTCTGCATCAGTAAAATATCTTTAAAAAGATTTTAATTGTTTTATTTTACAAACATCATATCATGTATACAGACATCTTCACTGACACATGTCATTTGTAGATGCATAAGATATAAGCCTCAGACATTCTTCTTTTTACGGTAGCGAAACTCATTCATATCTCATTCATCTTCAATTACTAGCACTGCAAAAAGTGAACTAAACACAAGTAAAATCTTTTTAAAATAACTGTACATTATTTAAGGAGCCACATTATTCATTCAGACCATTTTACTTGCCTGCTTATAGAAAAAGCAAATACACTTATTTAAAAAAAAAAGACTCAGGGTTCACCCTGGGCAGGTGACCGATTTATCACTGGGAAACATGCAACCATGTACAAACCCATCTAAGGATAATTTAGAGACGTCAACTAACCTAAGCCTCATGTTTTTGTACTGTCGAAGGAGACTGGATTACCCAAAGAAACCCCACAGATGCATGTGGACCACAGCTAAAATTCATGTAGAGCATGGATGCTCAAGTCCAGTCCTCAAGAGCTACCATCCTGTAACATTTAGATGCATCTTTTCTCTAACATACCTGAATCTAAAGCCTCAATCCCCTCATTTAGCTCAGCAGAGGCATGGTAACGCGTCCCTCATTTGATTCAGGTGTGTTAAAAATGGGATGCATCAAAAAGTTGCAGGATAGTACCTTTTGAGGACTTGACTTGAGAACCCCTGATGTAGAGAGACTTCAGGCTAGGAATTTAACTCAGGACCTGCTTAATGTAGGGTAACAGTGCTACTGTACAAATGGCTGCACCTTCCTATCAGCAAAAACATTTTCAAAATGATTACAGAAAAATTAATTTACTAATCTATAGTGCACACTTGTTCCTATCCACGCACACACAAATAAGAAATACTAAGTTATCTTAAAATGTTACTTAGATCTAAACGGTCTGATTTACATGCAGGAAATCTACATGGCTGTCATTTGGGTCCATCTTTTCCAGCATAGTGTGAAAGTCTAGATACAAACATATTCAAAGAAGCAATAATCCAAGACAACAGAAAATGATACACGGATGAGCTCATAGTCTAAGTATCACATCTCCGTTACATATCAACTGCAAACACCTTTGCTAAAGTCGTCTGAGCTTTTATCAGCAGGTTAATAACTAATTTTTGACTTTTATGTAATATATTGACACTGATCAAGCAGTTCACTGTAAGGGTCATATGCTTTGAACCACATAGAGGATTTCTTATTCTACGCTGGACTAAAAAGAACTGCCTCTTCTACGAGAACCTTCTGCACATTTTATTCTTCTTTACTGGTTAGTATATTTTATGCTCACTTGATAAATGCAAAAAAGGTTAAGATGTCGTCTTTTAAAACTAGACTTTGTCATTAGCGGGATCAGTGCATCAACATGATATTTGTCCGAAAGTTTAACAATGTATGGTCACTTATAATAGTGATCAGAGAGGTGGTAACAGTTTATCTTTCACAAAGTATTACACCTTTAAATGCAAATATTTTTCAGACCACAAATATAAAGGAAAATATATTAAATATTGCATAACAGCTTGAAACTTCTGGCTAATTTGATCAGTAAGGTTAGGGTCGATCTGCTGACCTGATGAGATATTAGAAGCAGATGTAATTGGTCATTTGAATATCTAATACAGAAAAAAAATCCCTTTCACTAAAGTCATCCTTCCGCCTTTTAGCTGTTTCTTTTTTGTTGATTTAAAACTATGACCCCATCCATGAACCTGCTGCAAATCCTTCTGAAGGATTCAGAAAAGAATATTTAAAAAAAAAAAAAAAAAAAGAAAAAAAAATATTTAAGCGCTTTTAAAAGTTGTTATGAATACAAAAACATACCTATCATAAATCCTAACTTTAAAATGTAGTTACCTAACTGTAATTTATCTTCCTTGGAAACCTGGCAAAGTATATGTCCACTTACTTCGAACAACTTTAATGTGGTTAGAACACATATGGCCGCAAACAGGTATTTGTCAGATATTAGAATTATTGCATTTTTTTGTTTTTCAAGTTTTTATGGCACTAATGGCTCGTTTTTTGGAAAGTAGGCTACAGAAAGGGGAATATGAGAGAGGGGGAGAGACATGCGGCAAAGGTTGGATTCGGCTGCGTCGAGGACTACGGCCTCCGTACATGGGTCACGTGTGCTAACTACTGCGCCGCAGCATGCCCAGTAATAATGCATTCTAATAAACTTTATCCCATGAGCAGCAGAATGTAAGAATGTTTCAAAAGGTTAAATGTCAGCCACCAACATATAACATCAGAACCTGCAGAAATTATGCACATCCTCACAAATAAAGATGCAAAACATCTGTGCAAACTTCCTATCCTAGAAAAACAAAAACAAAAATTCTGAAGTGTTCTGAAGATAGATCCGAATGTGTAGTTAAAATGTCCAGACAACCTGCAGGCAGTTTTATTTAATAGTTTCTTTCTGACACAGGTAGCCTCATTTGTTCAACAAACTAGATGTAAAAAGGTTGATTTCAGCATTAGGATCTTAATATGAACCTCTCTTTGCAGGAACTGGGTACCGTACTGTATCTGAAAGGCTCTTAAGCAGTGATTTCATTCAAAAAAAATCATTCCTGGTTAAACAGGTTTAAGCAGGAATGATTAGAATTTAATTAAATTGCCTCACTTTGAAAAGAGGTCTAACCCTGTCATAAATTATTTCCCAATGGTTAAAAACGAAGCATCTCAGTAACCTGCGGCTGGTTTCATCCTTTCAGCTCAGAGGCAGTTCCACACTGTTGCTCAGTAATTACAAGCAGACAGCTGAGAATACGAGCTTAAATTTGATCAGACCTTTGCCAGGTTCTTTTCTCTATTACTGAAACAGAAACAAACAGCTGATCATTGTGAAGTCAAGCACCCATTGTGTTCTAATCCTTAATGTGTATCTGAGCAGTCACAGAGGGCTGGGCACTGCATAATCACCTACTTGCTTCATTTATTCACCTGAAATGAAAAATACAGAAAAAAACGGGCTTCCTAGACAATTTAATGCACCAACAGGCGGATATTCTTTATTAATTTATTTTGCATTATCAAACTAGTCACCTAGATTAACCCCCTCTCCACACACACACACACACACGCCCCTGCAGACTGACTTAATGATCACTGCCTGTAATGTTTATCGTTTCTTAAGCAGAAACCCAACAGAATTAATACAGACATCCAGAGTTTAAGGTAGGGATAGAAGGGCTGGGCAGATAGACATGCATGCCTGACCCGCATGCCAAATAGCCATCTTTGTGCCCACCCACTTCCCTCACCAACGCTTCGTCTTGCTCGGAACACACATGTTCACTCTCACATGGCGTGTTTCCTCTTGGGGCTTCCACATGTGCACGCGTGCATTCTTGTATGCGTTTCATACAAATCACTGCGGCAGCTCTAACACACCTGACCCTCACCTGCCTGCAAGGAAGGAAACGGGGACCCTCCCCTGGAAAGATGCAGACTATGTTGAACAGCAGCAGGAGATGAAATGTGTGCTAACTGGTCAGCTTCTGCTCCCATGAAGAGAAGGCTGGTAAACACTCATGTCCATCATGCAGCAACATATCCATCTCACAGAGCCGGGATGAAAGCCTCGCCTGAAGGATGGAAGGAGCAGGTTAGAGAGTTACCGTTTGCACTTAGTGACTCTGCATCTTCACGCTCCACATGACTCCCTCCTTTTCCTCCCCTCATTCCATTCCTTTTTTTTTTTCTTCTTCTTCTCCACTGCGGCTCAGTGTATTCCCGCGCCCAGAAGAGCTGGCAGTCCCCTCTCGCTGATTCTGGTAGTAGTGCCTAAAAGGCACTAAGCATGTCTCCAGACCCTCCTCCTCCTCCCTTCCGTCACTCTATCTCCCCTCCATTCCTGTAAGAGATGATGAAGAAGCCCTTTCCTCCTCCTCCTCCTCTGGCTCTTATTTCCTCCACTGTCGCTTCCTCACACACGGTACAGCATGTTCATTGCCAACCATATGATATCACAGTTTCCTTATATGGGAAGCAGGGGGTTGCCATGACAACAGCTGACTCCACCTGTTTCCACCTCTTATTATTTTAAATCAGATTAATTATTGAATGAAGAGGGAAAGAAGTAATGGGGATGTGACACAGGGTGCAGAACTAAACATGGAGATTAGAGAATACTTCACAGCCTCCTCAATGCGATTAAATTAAACAATCCAAAAGAAACAATGCAATTCCCTATGAATGACCTTAGATATTTCAAGTAGTTCATATGATGGAAAGGTTGGGAAAGCAAAAGTATTTTTAAGCAGTTTGAGAGCCATAAATTGAATTTGAGCAGTCATTCCACTTTGGAAAGTCAATAAAAAAGGCATATTACTTTTTTTTATGAGAGCAAAAAAGCTGTATATAAAATCATAATTACTAATTTTCCAACAAATACCCTGAAATGTTTTAATTAGTTTGCCGTAGTTGTCAGTTCTTTTTAAATATAAACATTTGTAATAGATTGACCAACCATTAACTCTAGCTCACCAGGTTTCTAAATCAACCATTAAACTTTCTATACATCCCATGCAACACTTTCCAAACATGTGTGACTTGAAAACAACATGTTCTGCTCAACTATTATAGGGGAAAACATATTACTGGGACTTTAACTGGAACATTAGGCACAAAACATCTTACTCGTCGCTAGTCTTTAGCTCATTAAGCTGGAGCTCTGACTCTTTCTCATGTTGCTACAGACTGCAGGTCAGCGGGCTGAAAAAAACCCTCCTACACTTTATCCACACATTTGCAAAAAAGATGTAGCCCTTTGGATATATTTTATAACAAAAAGAATAAAGCCAAATTGTGGACATTTGAGCAGGTCCCACTATCACCATTATTAATTTAAAGCATTTTAAAATGACAGCTAACAGCCTCCTCTGGTCAAATCAGCTTTTGGGTCAGAGCAGCTTATTATAACCCTGCTGTTCTTTTAACAAATGATCCACATTGGGTCTTTACTGAGAATTATGATCAAAAATTCAGTTTTTGGCTAAATCCAAACAGAAATAAGCTATCTTTAGCCAGAACACCCCCATCCTGTGAAACGGAAACAGAAACAGAAAACCTGTGAAAAGAGCTAAAGAAAAGAGCAAAGGAGAGGACGACTGAGCATCCAAAAAACAGAGCAGTGGATTATAAACTCAGATCTTTAAATTATTTTGTGACTCAGTTCGATTCAGGACTTTTACAACTTGGACTCCAAGCAAAGGCATTTGCTCTAGATGGACACGTCATGGAAAGTTATTTTTTGGTGAGATTTAAACTCTTTTTGAAATTTAAAATGACAGATTAAGCATAATGTGGATGCATTCTAGCAATATGTTTTACTACTACAATGTATACAGATGTCCACTTTCTCCGATCAGTGAGTGGTGATGCAAGACACCTGCACAGTGACAGCAACTGCAAACTGATAGTTTAAAAGTTGCATTATATACAGCAGACTGCTACAGTAATTGCATTTGCTTAGCCTTCCTAAAGAAAAGCCTAATCAGAAATGGCATCATACCATGTTCCAACGGCCCTATATGATAAACTTGTGAAAAAATGCCAGCGATATCAGGAGGGGAGACACAACAGAGAAGCCAAATATTTTTCTTCTGGGATGGAAAAACAGCAGCAGGAAACCACTAATATTTCATAACAGATTAATACTCCATGATGCCCGGGGCAATATTTTACTATATGTATGTATACTGTTGACTTTGGAAGGGTTATATAGCATTGTGTGCAACCTCTCAAGAAAGACCAAAGCATAGATCTAGACAACATTTTAGACCAGTGATCTGCAACCTTTACAACCAAAGGGTCATTTTTACTCTCAGGCCAGCTATATAAAACTGCTTTAAAAACTAAAACAACCATCAAAAGAAAATTTTTACTCTTTAACAATTATTTAGTAAAGAAAACTGGCTGACATTGTTCGTATTTCCTTTTATGGTTTTACATTTATTTTTTTTTTTTTTTGCAACTTAAAGTATAAATAACATTTACTCAAAGAGATATTATCTTGTGGCCCCATGACAGTGTTGCAGGGGTTAAATACGAGACCATATACAGAGGCTTTGCTCCTCAACGCAGCCGTCACAGATTTTAGTCCTGGTCTGGTGACCTTTGCCGCAATGCTTCTCTCTTTCTAATCCCATTTCCTGTCTGCATACTTTCAAAAATAACTAAGGCCACAAGCCTAAAAGATAATCTTAAGAAAAGATGTTGCTTTTGTAAAATCATGTAAAAAGAAAGTTTCCAACATAATGACAAAAACATAAAAAACATTATTACCAGTGGGGCCATTTTATTATCAAAATTAGATAAATATATGTAATAAAAACCCGTTTAAAATAGTGTTAAATGTCTGTTTTATATAAAAAAGAATACATATTTAGGTCATTGATGATTATAAGATCTTATGAAATTGGCCCAAGGGGTATTTGGGGGTCCCCATAAAAAAAAGATCCCATAAAAATGGCTATGCCACCCTCCAACCAAAGCACTGTTGATGATTATTGATTCAGAGTTTGTTGTTTATGCCATCCAAAGTCAGATCAGCACTAATGCCTGCTCTGTGCACTCACCTATCAATCATGGATGCATGGCCCATTTCAAAGCAACCAAACAGAGAAGGGATCCTGATAAATGTGTGCATAGGAACTAGTGAAAATAGCCTGACCCCAAAGTTAGAATCAAGCATTTAAAGAAGCCAAACACATTGAAAAGTCCATTATATCAACAGACCTTTTTTTATTTCTGCAGCCTGTCCAATTCTTCATGTTGTGTGGAGTGGTGGCCTAGTGGTTAGGGCATAGAGCTTGGAATCCTGAGGTTTTGAGTTTGAGCCCCACTCACATAGACTGCCACTCTGGCTCTCTGAGCAAGACCCTTAACCCTTCATCTCCCATGCGCCCCATGATGGCAGCCCACTGCTCCCAAAGGGGATGGGTTAAATGCAGACGAAAATTTCTCCCATGTGAGATCAAAAAAGTTCAATTATCATCGTCATAATGTTGAGGGGAAAACAAGTTTTGCTTGATAAACTGGGAATGTATAACACATCCACTGGTACCAGCAAGTTTTGTCTTCTATAATTCTGGTGCTGATTATAAACATAAATCTTTGGTGCAGTGTTAAAAAGAAATCCATTATGACAATTGATCACTATTATATTCTTAATTAATTACAGTAGGTGTTTATATGTCTGAAAAATATAGGTTACATGGAAGTTTGTCTAAACTTGGGTCAAAAGGTATAGACAGTTGCTTTAAGCCAAACATAAAAAGCTGAGTCAGATAATTCTGTTCTATGCATAAAGTCCAACCAGGTTGTAATTCATTAATAGTGGGTTACAAAGCCAAGAAAATAAAGATGTGTGGTGGCACAGAATATAATTTCACCTATTTTTCGAAGACCTGTGACTTCCTACCTTTTATTGCTCACGCTTTCTGACAATAAGCAAAAAGCAGGGCCATCAGTGACCCAGCCAGGAGGTCATAATGATGCTATTGTTTCTTTAAGAGGGCCCAGAGGCATCTCACCACTTAATGCGCTCATGTAGGGTTCCAGGAACCACCCATGTGCTGCCATTATCTCTCAGGGAGTAAATGTTCACATGTGGAAACAGAAAGCACTCCAAAGGGCTCAGTTTCAACCTGTGGTGAGACTCTCCTGTTCTAAAGGAGCTACTGGTACATGAAGCTGAATGAAAGCAGAAATCTGGAATTTTCTTTTAGGAATGTTGTAAATGTAACATATGTTGTTAGAAGTTTCTGTCTTATAGATGTAACAGGCAATAATTTCATTTTCATCCCTATTGCATCAGCAGCAAAGTGATTTACAGCTGCAAAATAAGACAAAGAGGCATTTGTACAGCAAAGGGAAAATATATTAGATAAAATATATTAGATAAAGGTGCACCTCTGCTTGTTCATCCAACATGAGCCCTACTGTATCTTCGCACTGCTGGTGCCATTTTTATTTTTCTTGTTCATTTGGCTGCTTTAATTTACTCCACAGAGTCCCCTTCCTACATGGTGAGCTCCTCACCAGAGAACAGAATACAGCTTGAAAGCCACAGCAGCACCAATAATTAAGTCAAGCTTAATGCTTTTTAAAATGCAATTGAAATGAACATTATAACCAACTAGAAACATCAGGTTACATTATCTTTTTTTTTTTTTTTTGCATCTGATAGTGATTAAGTAAGACAAAATACAGGCATACAATTTCAAGCAGACAAACAGGACCAAGTATTCTGCACGCATACATACTGTATCAGAGGATAAAAGAGAATAACCATTTAACCTCAAATCATGTTTTTTGAAAATCTTGGTCAAAGGAAGAAAAGACTTTAACCAAAATTTAAACATGGGACCTACTTGCTGCAAGAATAGCAACACTTTTTCCACTGGCAGCATTATCACTCTTGGAATCACTGCACCCTGGAAGTGTTATGGTTCCCCCCTTTTGGGATTTTGAGTTTTCACTCAAAGTAATTCTGTTTT